CCACTCTGGAAAGCAATATGGTGCTTCCTCAAAAGGTTGGAAATAGAAATACCTTATGATCCAGCAATCCCTCTACTTGGTATTTACCCATTTACAAGAAATACAAGTCATAACATGAGTAGATATATAGCTATATGCACACCAATATTCATAGCAGCACTAATTACAATAGCAAAAGTATGGAAACAACCTAAGTGCCCATCAATTGAAGAATGGATAAACAAACTTTGGTACATACACACAATGGAATACTATGCTAACTTGAAGAACAACAAGGAAGCTGCAAGCCACCACATAGCATGAATGCACCTTGAGGACATTATACTGAATGAAATTAGTCAGTCACAAAAGGAGACATTTTGCATAGGACCATTATTGTAAAAGATTAAGAAAAATAACCCACTCTAAAAGTGAGGGAAATTATATATATATTTGCTGATCACCAGGATGTATGGGGAGTGAGGGGAAGATAGAGCACAGGGTAGCAAATAGACACAAGTTATTTTGGGTGCTGGGGGTAAGGGAAAATACATAAGAAGGGGGAGGGGAATGGAAGAACAAAGCTGATGGGAGAACAGTTAGGCAGGTTCGCATGGGCTAAGTGGGACAGAGGTAAATGATAAGGTATGCACAACCTTGGAACAACTGGGCTCTGGGATACAGGGATTGAGGCATGGTTTGAAGGGGTAAAAGTGGGAATAATGTTAAGTTGCATGGCTGTCTTTTGAATGTTGGTTTCCCTTGCCTACCATTGTAACATAGGCACTAGAGGGAGGGAGAAAGGAATAGCCAGAAACATCACTACAGAAAGCTTGTAAGTCCGTCTTCAGCCTATAAATAAATGATTGGAATACCTTAAAGGGGGCTAGAAGTTGCCCAATGAAAAAGGCTTCCTGTGGAGCTTTTACATAGCACAAGACCATAGATGGAATCCAGAACCCCATCCAGAACTGACTGAGGTAAGAGATTTCCACTGGAAAGGATGAGTAGACCAGTCTGGAACAACTAGAAGAACAGAAGAGAAGATACGTCGTAAAAGAAAGACCAGCAGGAAGAATCCAAAGCAATAATGGCAGTCTGATTGATTACTACAAGAACAAGTAAGCTGTTCACCCAGAAGCCATCAAGGCAAGTGGTTGGGACCCCTCCTTTCCAAGACTGAGACTCAAGGGAAATACATGAGCAGGCATGTGGTCTGGATGGTGAACACATTGATCACTGATAAGGGGAAGAGAGGGAAAAAACAACAGTGAAGTTGCAAGCTAATCTGACCACATTCAATAGACCCCTGTGAACCCCGGTGGAGACCTGGATGGCCAGTAGTACAGCAAGACCCGGGAGCTCCTGGGCCCAGAGGCAGTGACATGGCCACTAGAGCAGAAAGTGAAGCATCCAGCTGATATGAAGTGAGGGGAGATGAATAAGAACACCCATACTTGCAGATAGTACCCATTTGACCTGGCTTCGATGACTGGATGATCAGAACTCGACTAGAGGAAGAAAGAAGAGGGGGAAAAAAGAAGAGTAACCTACTACAATTTGATGAACTTTACCTATACTTATGGATGTAATAGCTCAAAAAAGGGAACATATCTTTACAGTGAGGATCACTCCCACCTCCTCAGTACACAGGGTTGACAGGAATGGGCAACTTAGACATTGGCTACCCAAAATGGGGGCGTCTGTAAAGGCAAGAGTCCTAATGTGGCACTGTGGGTTAATGTGCCAGACTGCAAGGCCGTTTGAACTGCAAGGTCTAGTTCCACATGGGGCGGGAAAAGGTAGAATCTCTACTGAATTATGTCCAATCTGTTGGGCCCAGGCTGGCGAAAGGAAATGGGGATAAGACTCTTGTGGTACAATAGTGATTGATTGCCATCAGGACTGACTTTGAGAGTAGGAAATAACAAGGTAGATGTTTTTTGACAAAAGGAGGGAAGAGATTGATTTTGCAGCCTGGGAGCAGAGGTCCCTGGGACCATCAAGTGAGAAGAGCAGAGAGCAGGACCTTACCCAGAGAGGCAGAGATACCAGGGATGGAGACAGAGACAGTGATGTGGACAGATGGAGCGGCTGGGGACACTGAACTCAGGGAAGGAGAGGAGCTGTGTGCTGACAGCCAGGGGACGGGCCTGTGGGGTGTACCCTTTGGTTATTTGATGATGCATGGAGGGATTGTAATCATTGCAATGAAATGAAATACAATAGGATGAATGTGAAACTGATATTCTTCCATGTAAACCTCATAATAAAAACTTATTTTAAAAAAAGTACCAGGTACTTTCAGAAACACAAACAGGTCTGTGTTGGAGGAAGTACAGCCAAAATGCTCCTTGGAAGCAAGAATGGCTAGACTTCATCTCTCATAGTTTGGACTTATTATCAGGAAGGACCAGTCCCTGGATAAGGACATCATGCTTGAAAAAGTGAAAGGTCAGCAAAAAATAGATGACCCCCCTCAACAAGATAGAGTGATACAGTGGCCGTAGCAATGGGCTCAAACATAACAATTGTGAGGCTGGCACAGGACTGGGCAGTGTTTTGTTCTGTTATGAGTAGGGTCATTTTGAGTCAGAACTGACTCGACAGCACCAAACAACAACTTCAACATATAGTTATTTTAAAACATTACATTTGTAGTTAAAAACAAAAGTTATTTCAGAGTAAATTTCTATCAAATATTGAAGGATAAATCATCCCAATCAAGGATGTGCAGTAAAAACATTTTTACAACTTGTTGGTGGGAGTGTTATTGCCATGAACTTTTGGAAAAATTCAGTAGAAGCATTCAACATTTATATCCCACAATGATAACTTCAGAGTTTTGTATCAAAAATAAAAATTGGAAATAGCCTGAGATTTGCTTACCTCCCTAATGGGGCATGGTAGTTAGCAGCGACTAAATACTCTTAATTATATTGCTAGACCTATCCGACACCTGAGCATTCTTGTTTGATCTGTCCTTTCAGAGACCACCTTGTACCTTCAGTACAGTTTTAGTGTTGGGTCTTCTCTCCAATACGCAATGCTAGTCAACTGTTAGATGAATAATTAAGTCCCCCAGATAATTAACAGTTAGCTATGTGCCTAGATGGAGTCCTAGTATGATGCTATAGGATAAGCTTTGGACTGTTTAGCCTATAAACCAACCAGCCACAACTTGGACATGCTATACAGAGTCACTGTAAGTTGGAATCAACTCAGTAGCATTTAACAACAACAACAATATATGCATAGATCAGATCAATGTTAAGATACAGTCTATTAGAATCAATATGGAGTGCATATTAAAAATGAGAATTTCTGAGTTCTATACCCTACCTACTTAATCAGAATCTCCTAGGGTTAGGTGTTAGAGTCTCTCATTTTAACAAACTCCATAAGTAATTCTTGGTGGTGGTGGTTATGTGCCGTGGAGTTGGTTCCAATTCATAGTGACCCTGTATAGGGCTTCTGTGACTATAAATCTTTACAGAAGCAGAAAACCTCATTTTTCTCCCACGGAGTGGTTGATAGTTTCAAACTGTTAACCTTGAGGTTAACAGCCCCACTTGTAACCACTGCGCTACTAAAGTTCTTTTAAGTGATTCTTATGTAGCCTAAAATTTGAGCAACTATTTTGAACGAAAGTCTAGGGGAAATGTGCACCAAGACGTCAGTAGTGGCTGTCTCTAGGAATTAGGAGAAGTGAAGTCAGAATGCTCCTTAGAAGCAAGGATTGGGAGACTTCATCTCGTATTTGGGATAATGTTATCAGGAAAGAACAGTCCCTGGAAAAGGACATCATGCTTGGTAAAGTAGAGGGTCAGTAAAAAGGAAGACCCTCAAGGAAAGGGATTAGCACAGTGGCTGCAACAATGTGTTCAAACATAACAATTTTGAGGATGGTGTAGAACCAAGTATTTCATTCTGTTGTGTTTGGGGTTGTTATAAGTCAGATCTGATTTAATAGCACCTAAAAAGTGTGGCGCTGCAGGATAATGCACTGCACCGCAAGGTCGGCAGTTAAAACTCACTAGCAACTCTTTGGAAATCCTACACAGGGTCGCTGTGAGTCAAACAGACTAGCTAGCACTCAACAACAACAACAAAACAAGTGGTGGAAATACAAAATACTTTCCTTTTTTCTTTGTGTTTTGCTGCATTATGAGAATATTATACAAAAAGCACATACTGCCTTTGTAAGGAAGAAAATAAACTAAAATAAAATCATTTTCTAAAAGGAAATGACCTGGGATCACAAGTCAGCTGCATTATGCTATTGTTAATTATGTTTTCGTCTTTTCAGCAACAGAACTTTCTGCCTTTTTTATTTTTGCCATTCATGAAAGCATATTTATATATAGGGAAGTTGTGTTGTAAACTATCATCATAAAAAAGTTTTGAAATTATTGATTTACCTATTTTAGGTTTTCAAACTTGATTCCTCTGATGCAGCAGTTGTTGACAGTATTGTAGAGAAGGATATGGGTAAAAATGTTAAAATTACAAAAAATCAGAGTAAGTATTATTAAATTTAATAAATATTAAATAATGTAGAAGACAAACTTTGAACAAATACGAACTTTGCTCCTATCTTTAAAGTAGATTTTAAATTAGTGACATGCTGTTTTTATACTGTTTTTTTTCCTTCATGTGTTTACTTAAAATTCCTATAATATTGCCAAGCATATTATATTGTATATGCATATAATTGGGGTTCTGATGCAGTGCTGTTGGTTATTGCATTGGACTGCAAAGTCAATTTGAACCACAAGATTAGTGGTTCAAGCTCATCAGTTGCTCCTCAGAAACCCTATACAAGGTCACTGTGGGTCAGAACCAACTCGATGGCACTTAACAACAGCAACATCAGTATAATTATGCTATGTGAATACTAAGGTTTACATAGCCCTTTCCGTTTATAAATGACCATTCATATCTCTTAAGAACTAGTTGAACATTAAATATAGAAATAAGCAACGATTTGAGAAGCAGCAGTGGCAATAAAATAGGATTGACTCTGAAGTAGAACGCCAAACATTCTATGCAGTATTAGTCCAAATCATCAAACCAACCCAAGCAGATTCACCTGAAATCAATCGGATATGCATATTTGCTATGTGCTAGGGAGACAGAGCATGTATATGGCATGGTCCCTGCTCTAACAGCTGCTTTCACCTCTTATCATTGATTGAACCTTATGTCAACAATGTCGTTGTAGTTAAGTGTCGAGTCAGTTCCAACTCATAGTGACCCCGTATAGGGTTTCAAAAGCTTTTAAATGTTTTCAGGAGCTGAAAGCCTCATTTTTCTCCCTTGAAGCAACTGGTGGGCCTGAACCATGGAACCACAGTCCAGTGTTTATCATATGGAGCCACTATGTCATAAAGCGCTCCCCTATATCAACAGTAGTATATTTGTATTCCAGGCATTGAAAGAAATTTCTGCCACTGCTTCTTAGAATTCCTAAATTCTTGTGTGTGATTGGGGTGGGAGGAGGAGGGAGGAAGGAACATTTAATTGGGAGATAGCAGTAACTGGGCATAATAAATATACTCCATGCGATCTTAATACAATTGAACTCTGCAGGTATTTCAGTCAGCCAGAGTCCCATCTTAGCAGTGGTAGTTAGTTAGATAGAAATTAGCTCTTGTCTCCTGTTCTTCAGGGATACTTCAGTACCTTTCAGTTGGTTAACTAGTCTCTAGGTAGTGACCTTTTCACTTCTCCCCTATCTTTGCCCCATAGATTTTCTAAAATCACAGAGCAGTATTGTGGGTGTAGAATGTGGAAAGAGGAACAAATGGGCTCATGGTGTGAGAGTCTAGATGCTGTCTGTTTGAGTCTTTCTTCAAAGGGGTATCTATTTCTCTTTGCTATTTCCTGGGAGCAGCATCTCCAAAAAATAATCCTGTGTGGAAAGAGCAAACTCACGAACTTTATTATTAACGAAAAGAGAATACCGTGGGTCTTTTTCTACCTAGATTTTAAATTTTCATCTTAATTCTACTATTCAGCAACTGGAATATCTGATTGTTGTCATTGCTGTCATATACAGTCACCCTGTATAGGGTTTTCAAGACTTTAAATCTTCCCAGGAGCAGAAAGCCTCATCTTTCTCCCATTGAGTAGCTGGGGGGCTCGAATCACAGATGTTGTGGTTGGCATTCCAGTGCTTACCATATGGAGCCATCATGCTCCTGAGTATCTAACAAACATTGCTCAAAGAGTCATTAAATATGTGGTATGAATATTCATATTTAATTTTGGAGCATTTTCATCTAAATGTTTTCTAAAAAAATGTGTGCATGATTGTAATGAAATTATTCTTAACTATATTAAAAATATTCTTCTATCTAGACTTTGATTGGCAGTGGATTATTTTAGATGGTCCAGTGGATACCCTGTGGGTAGAAAATCTAAACTCCATGCTAGATGACACAAGAACATTGTGCCTAGCAAACAGTGAGAGAATAGCTTTAACCGATAAAATAAGAATAATTTTTGAAGTGGACAGCCTCTGTCAGGCCAGTCCAGCCACCGTTAGCCGATGTGCAATGGTCTACATGGTAAGTGTTCAAAATGAAGTGTGCTGTTTAGAATATTTTATTTAGGCATTATCTACAGCATTTTTAATGTTTGTTTTACATTTACTTCTGGGTCCTGGAAGGTGAAACCAATAGTTCAGAATGTGTATCACCAAAGGTTCGTAACCATGAAATTACTTTGAGTGTAAGGTACTGTTTTTAGGACTCCTGGTATGGTGCTATAGGATCAGCACTGGACTGTGAACCATAAGGTAAGTAGTTCAAACCCACCAAGCCGTTCCTCAGAAATCCTATGCAGGGTCACTATGAGTCAGAATTGACTCGATGGCTCTTAACAACAACACTACTACTGTTTTTAACACTACTCTTAGTAACTGGAGTGCTCAGTATTTTCCACAATTGTGAATGAGTAGTACTTTCCAGTGGTTAGGCTGCTGGTGTGTTGTTGTTTTTTTTTGTTTGTTTGTTTTTTCATTACTCCTAGAAGTGACTGGTGGGTTTGAACCACAAGGTCAGCAGTTCAAACCTGTCAACTATTGCTTGGAAATCCTATACATGGTTGCTATGAGTTGGAACCAACTTGCTGTTCTAAAGTACCGTGGACTTGGTTCCGACTCATAGCGACCCTGTACAGGGTTTCCAAGGCTGCAAATCTTTATGGGAACAGAAAGCCTCATCTTTCTCCCATGAAACAGCTAGTAGTTTCGAACTGCCAACCTTGAGGATAGCAGCCCGATTCGTAACCACTACGCTACCAGAGCTCCTAGACAGCACTTAACAACAACAATTTACATAAAACTGGGGAGTACACTGGCTTCCTAGATTAGGACTGGATTGTGAACCACAAAGTCAGTGGTTCAAGCCCACCAGCCACTCTCCAGGAGATAAATGAGGCTTTCTGCTCCCACAAAGATTTAAAGCCTTAGAAACTCTATACAGTACACAGGATCACTGTGAGTCTGAGCCAACTGGATGGCACTTAACAGCAACAGCCATGAAATTAATGATTAGCCATGATTAGCCCTCTGCTGTAGGGCTCTAGTCTATTTAACTGGCTATGATAAATAAACCGACCTATAGGACTGACCCTTTGGCTAAGTAGTTCACCTACCTCATACATGAACTTAATTAATACACTTCATATGCACAATTTCTTGTCTTGTAAAACCCCAGTTAAAAATCATCAGTCATTCCAGTGAAAGGCAATTCTTTAAGCTGCTTTTAATCATTCTCCACCTTAAAAGATTATATGTCTAAGCTATATTTGTAAATACTACAAACATTTAATAAGTAAAAAAGAAAGGAAGGCATTGTATTTTTATTTACTTACATAAAATATCTTGTGATTTTTATTAGGATCCTGTTGATCTGGGATGGGAGCCTTATGTTAAATCATGGCTTTTGAAAACTTCTAAAATTATGAGTCAAGAAGGAGTGGACTGTCTTGAATTCATGATTTATAAAAGTGTCACAGATGGACTACAATTTCTAAAGAAGCATCAGAAATTTCAGCCATTTCCTGTACAGGATATAACAATCATCATAACTCTCTGCAGAATTCTCGATGCTTTCTTTGAATTTATGAGCCAAAATGGAGGCTTTGGACAAAGTGAGTCATGTTAAATATATTATATCTTAGCTAATCAGAGGAGCCCTGGTGGTTTGGTGGGTTATGTGTTGAACTGCTAACCATGAGGTCAACAGTTTGAATCCACCAGCTGCTCTTTGGGTGAAAGATAGGGCTTTCTGCGCCTATAAAGATTTACAGCCTCAGAAACCCTATACAGGGTCACTATGAGTCAGAACTGACTCTATGCTGCACAACCAGCCAACTTAGTTAGTCCATGCCAATCATATTAATTATATCCTAGCTAGTCAATGCTAATCGTTTATCACCTTGTCTCTTTGGAAACCCTATACAGGGTCACCTATGGGTCAGAATTGACTTGACAGCACTTAACAACAATAATTAGATCTTATGAAAGAAAAAGAAATAAAGGAAGGCCACTTTCTTACGTCCAAAGAACTTTCAGAATTCTTGGACCAATAGCAGACATGCATATGAAACAAACTAAAAACCATTTACAGAAAAGGATATCAATAAAAGTAAATTCATACTGTACATAAGGGTCAATGGTTAACACATAAAAATGAGTCTTGAGAATCTTTAGAAGTTGTCTATTAAGCAAATATTTGCCATTTTTAAAAGAATTCTTAAAGATAGAAATAGTAGAAGAAACTGTCCAAAATCCAGGGTTTAAGCTGGAATTATGCAAAAGTACAAGCACGTATAGTAGTAAAGCATTTATAGGAATCAATTGTGATACATTCAGAAAACATTTTAACATGGACTCCAGAGTCAAAATTCCTATATTCATATGTTGATTCTATTTGGTTCTTGACAAAGAGGCAAATCAGAACTTGATAGGAAGATAAATGGAGTTCAGGTGTGGCATATAGGATAAGCACTGGATTGGAAACCCTATATAGGGTCACTCAGAGTCAGAATCAATTTAATGGCACTTAACAACAAGAAGGTAGATCAGACTTTCAATTCAGTCTCCAAATTTCAATTTTGAGAAATATCTGGGATGACATAAAGATGGTGAGATACCAGTTGGGGAAAGTGGGAGAGTCTGACCTCCTGTGTGGAAAAGAGTTCCATGAATGGAAGATAAGATGGGGGAAATGTAAGTTTCCTCTTTCTCCTCTTGGCTCTGAGTGGGCTATTGGAGTCCTGGTGTGGCGTTGTGGGTTAATACACTGGACTGCAAGGTCTGTTTGAATTTCAAGGCCAGTGGTTCAAGCTCACTGGCAACTCCTTGGAAACCTTATATAGGGTTGCTATGAGTCGTCAAAAATGACTTGACACGGGACTTCCGGTATGGCAGGACAGCCAGAAAAGGTAGGGACTTGCTCCGGCGGAAAAAACGAGTGGGATCTCGCAAAGGAAACATTCATAGACCAGTCCCACAGCTTTGAGATTATCATAATCTCTCCTGGGCTCACATTTTTGAGAAACCACGCTAACAAGGATAAAGAAAAGCGTGTATTTTGGGACTCTTTCCTGCGGGGACCATGGGGTGCTCCCTAGACAGCAGAGTTTGGAAGGCAGGGCCAGGGCTGGCCCGTATAGAAAGTGGTATCTCCCAGAAGGGCCAGAGGCGATACAACTTCCTCCCACCCCAAGTCTCCCCACCCTGGCTTGAGACCCCAATAAAAATCGGCCGGGTGCAGCTCACCCATGCACGGAGTGTGAGGAACTCTGGAGAGTGTAAGAAAGGCTGCAGCAGCTTCTTAACATCACCCATCATCCCCCAACTGTCACTGCAGCTGAGCTCCCTGCCCCCACTCCTAGCTAGCAGTGGGATCTCACAAAGGGGGCATTCATATACCAGTCCCATGGCTTTTGGACTATCATAGTCTCTCCTGGGTTCACATTTTTGAGAAACCACACTAATAAGGATAAAGAAAAGTGAGTATTTTGGGACTCTTTCCTGCAGAGACTGTGGGTAACTCCTGTGACTGCAGAGTTTAGAGAGCGGGACCAGGACAGGCCCGCTTGTACAAATGCATCTCCCAGAAGGGCCAGAGGCGATATAACTTCCTCCTGCCCCAAGTCTTCCCACCCTGGCGTGAAATCCCAATAAAAATCAGCCGGTACAGCGCACCCACGCACGTAGAGTACTTATTGACTACACATCCCTCCTGGAGGTGAGAACTTATCCTCCCTACGTCCCATAAGAAGAAATAGCAATCATGGCCATATAGCTAAGCTACAACATAATACTCCACCACTTAGACGAGACCCAACAACATTTGCTAC